ATCCCCTATAGTTTATATGAAAGGAGATGCTAGTCTCATATTTTTAATTTTCACAAATCTTAGTGCTAACAGATTTTCTATGCATCACATTTTGCTCTGATTTTTTTAATTCTTTGAAAATAGGATGAAAATATTGAATGAAAATTTCCATGATGCTATATTAAAAGCTTCGAGGGTTTTAAATAAACATAAAAAAACCCCAGTGATTACTAGGCTGCTACATGGATCTACTAAAAAGAAATATCTGGGGGCACCCAGGTGGCTCAGTCGGTTGAGTGGCTGACTCTTGATTTCGGCTCAGGTCATAGTCTCAGCCCCGAGTGGGGCTCTGCACTCAGCATGGAGTCTGCTTCTCTCCCTCTCTCTCAAATAAATAAATAAATCCTAAAAAAAGAAATCTATGTTTTCTTCTTAGACAGGATTACTAGATTAGATCTGGAAAGCATGACAGCTGTGGCATAAAGGAACTTTTGCTGGACAGAATGCTGGGTCTTCCTTGATGCTTTTGTGATGGTGAAGCAGCAGTAAATGGGCCAGATTAAAAACGGGCTGAAATGACCAGGCCCTATGGATCCTGATTAATTATCCATTATGGGAGCTGGTGGTTGGTGTGTTCTAAGAAACCAACTGTACTCACATCTGTCTAGGTCTCCTCTTTCTCATGCTTATCATGAAAATATGGGTGGTATGTTTACCAAATTGATAGATGGCATTGCTATAAATAAAAAGTTGTCAGTGATACAAGATACATAGCACTAAAACAAAATAAGGCAGACACGGTCCCTATGCTTATAAGTAACAAACTGAATGACAGAATTGGAGCTAAAAGGACCTCAGCAGCACCCTGTAATGACATAATAAAATTTGAAAGGGATGGATGACCAGTCTGGCTTCTGGGGCAAAGATATGGCTTAGCAACAAAAGTTCTGGAAAAGACTTTAAGATTTGAGTCAACAATATGCTCAATTATCTCCAACAGTGAAATTCAAATTCTAAAAAAGTGAACATGATTTTAAGCTGCATTAATGGAAGTGCGCACTCTAGAATAGTAATTTTCTTTTTTCTCATTCCAAATACTAATGAGAAATTATGTGTACATTTCCATGAATCACTAACTATAGTAAACTCCCAAAGCATGCTTCCCTAAGAGACTGTGTCAGACTGTTCTTGGGGTTGGGAAAAGGGGAAGGGTATGTAGTTTGAACCATACCCTTGCCCTGGGGATTCTAATACATTGTCTTCCCCACACTCAGGTAGCTACCACTTACCCTCTCCCCACCTCTCTGTCATAATCTAGAATAAGGGAATAGTTTTTTTACACCCTGAATATAATTTTTGGTTTTGGTCATAAGACTGATGCATCGTAAGCATACCTGGTGTAAAGCAGGTGCTCATAAGTATTTATTGAATGAATGAAGCAGGGTATATGAAGATTGGAGGACTTTCAGAAGCCAGTGCCTGGTTGGCAAAAGAACTCAAAACCAAGTCCTCTGAGGAAATGTAGATGTCTGCTAAGTGCAGGGAGAACGTGATGATTATTTTCTAAAGGCCGAAGACCTGCCACATGTAAGATGGCTTAGACTCTGTTGCACAAGGTAGAGCTAAGGCAGAAAGACACATCTCAGTTCGATGTAAGGAAAAACTTTCTAATGGTCAAAACTGTTGTAAAGTGGGGACTGGGCCAGCTCCAGGAGAGTACCCCTATCCCCTCCACCCCAGTGAATTTCAACAGCGGTGCCCAATAACAGCAATTTGTTTTCTAAAAATAGTGAAATTTAAGAATGTGTATTTAGAAAGAAATAAACTAGAGAAGATTCAACGTCAGTTCCATAATGTTATTCTCATATGCTTACATTCCAGTCTACTTTTTGAGTGGCAGAAACAAGAGTCGTGTTAGAGCTAGTACATGGGAGTGTCTACAGAAAAGTGGGGCACATGAGCATGTTTTGTGCTGAACCCTTGGGCTACAAGACCACTTCCTCAGTGTAGATTGTTTCCTTGGTAGCTGGGTGAGCGCCAGTGTTGAAAAAAATTAAAGATGCCTTCCCACCCATCCTATGATTTTTGTTATTTAAGTAGATACATATTTAGTTTCTATATAAATACTAAGATAAGACAGTTAACACTGCCCTAGAGGCACACATACGAACGTCTGAAGGGCTGGTAAGGGACAGATTTCATACATAACACTGGGGTACTGCCGTGTCTGTCTCTTCTCTGTGCACATATCTCTTTGTATATATACATTTTTAAATAAACTAAAAAAAAAACCTATTTTTGATTAAAATGTTTGTAAAAAAGCCCATTACAGATTTGCTATTTTGGAAAAATTGATAAAATACATTATGGTTAAAGAACAGAATTTATACCAAAATGTTTAAAGTATTTTTTCATTCTTCCTTGATTTGTCTGAGAGTTGGCTTGGCAGACTGTGCAGCTATGAAATATTCATATTTGCTGAATAAACGAATGACTGAATTGTTGCTAATGTTCTCCCATATTTGGGGTAGTTACAGTGATCACACCAGAGGAGAAATTAGAAGATTGTTGGCTGCCCCAATTTGCATATTTGTATACAAAGGGAAGAAGAGGTAATCATATCTCTTTTCTTCTTCAGGGAGACACAAATAAAGAAACATGAATAAATAAAATGAACTGGCTGTGTTGTCTTCAATTTCAGATTTACATCATTTCTTTTCTTTTTCCTATTCATTTCCCCTGTCTCCTAAAATACAGTTCACAGAAAAATGATGCTTATACTCTTTGTAAATGAAGGCAAGACTGACCAATATGAGAAAAGTCAAAAACTCCACTACATTTTTATATTGGAAATCATCAGCTAACAAACTTCTCTGAAAGAAAAATAACATGTATGTTCAGTTCTGTTGGTAAACACAGCTTAAGTCTGTTCAAATTCAGCAGAAGTAAGAAAGGCCTATCATCTGCCTGTCAGTAGCCTATCCTTTACTTGGAGACTGTCTAAGTATTCAAGGAGATCCAACTGGAGAGAAGGTTATCAATATTCAAATGTAAAGAGTAGGTGCTTATGGCCAAAGTTCAGAGAAAGTGCTTATGCTGAAAGATTTACCTTGAAGAAATGAGTCTGGGAAGTTAGATTTTCTTCTTGAAAAAGGACAATAATCATACTTTCCATTTGTCTATGATGTTAGTTTCCGAAGTGCTTCCTCCTCCAGTCTCATTTTTTTTGGTACGATATAATTCTAACATCTTCTCTAATTAAAAGTTTTTAAAAATAAATTTTATATTCTATAATCATGAATATGAACATAACTCATTACATGGAAATTAGTCTGCGAATGACATGGGAAGAACTTTAGAGAATCAATCAAATGAAAAATTCTTAGGAAATGAAAGTAAGCTAAGTGCCTAATTATCATTTAAATATCATATTTGGGGGCACCTGGGTGGCTCAGTCGTTAACAGCGTCTGCCTTCAGCTCGGGTCATGATCCTAGGGTCCTGGGATCGAGCCCCGCATCGGGCTCCTCGCTCAGCGGGAAGCCTGCTTCCTCTCCCACTCCCCCTTGCTTGTGTTCCCTCTCTCGCTGTGTCTTTTTCTGTCAAATAAATAAAATCTTTAAAAAAAAATAAATATCATATTTGTATTATTTCATCTCATCACGGCATTTGACGCTAGGAACCATTTGTCCCCTCCTACACATAAGATCAGAATCCCTGCCTCCTTTAGTTTTTGTCATCTTGGATTCTCTTGGCTACAGCCTTCTTACTGCTCCTGTTCAGTCTCCTTCAAGGATTCCTCTCCCCGAACTCATTCAACAAAATGAAGACATTTTCTAAGGTCCTGTCCTTAAAAATTCTTTTTCAGTTTCTGAATAAAACAGTTATTGAATACCCTCTGTGTGCCAGAAACTATGTTGAGTTCCTAAGAATACAAGGAAGGAGAGCAGACATGGGTCTTGTTCTCAAGGAGTCTGCAGACTGATGACATTGAAGACAAAATTCAAAAAGAGTTAATTACAAATTCTCCCAAGTGCTATGAATCAAAAATCCAGCACACTGTTATGAGAAATACAAGGGGACCTAACCTAGTCTGGAGGCTGGAAGGCTCTCTGAGGCAGGGATGTCTGAGCAGTGGTGATCTGAGGAATGTGCAGATGGCAAGGGAGGCATGGAGATCCTGCGGGGAGGAAGGATGATGTACTGACGGAAGCAGAAGGCCACCATCAGAGCTGCAGCACAAGAAATGAGGGGAAGAGGTAGTCAGCCACATCACATGAAGCCTCCAGGCAAGCTCCTATACTCCATGGCTTCGATTCTCAGTCCTGTGCCAAAAACACCCTTCCTAACCCGGTTTGCTAGCACCAGTCCTAAGCTTCTGACAGCTGCTTGAATATTTGCACATGAATGTTTTCGTGTCACTTCAAACTCAATTCATTATCTTTTATCTGGACTACTGCAATAGTTTCCTAACTTGTTAACCAGATGCGCACTTATCTGCACTCATCAGCAGAAAGCAGGTGTCCCAAGTTCAAACTAGGAGCAGAGAACAGCTAACTACATGGATCTGTGAAAATCAACTAGACTGCAATAGTTCAATGCCCATGCATTCTCAGACTTGAAGATTCAACTTGATTAGTACTGCTTTGAGTAACAGAGCAAAAACAAAAAACAAAACCTCCCATATTCTTAAATATCAATATATGATAAATACTGGAAATCGTGTAAATTAAAAATGAATCACTACAATTATACATTAAAATACATGACAGAATCATTTTAGAAAGTGCATAATTTATTACATTTATGAGTTTATAATAAATTGGACACTTGGGAACTTAAAAAAATGAGTTAGGAGTAACAATTAGATGTAAAATTCTCAAATCATGGAACCTGAATTATTAAAATTCTAACATTGTCTTAAAAATCTCTTTCCCATGATTAGTATAGTTTGAAAATTATTATGCTCTTCCAAGGGAAGAAAGGGGGAATTGAAAAACAGACACGTTGATGAAGGCAATGAATTCTTCTCAGCTGGCTTTATTCTCCACTGAAGCTCAATATAGGGTTATATTTTCTTTACTTACAGGAAGCTGCCACTGTTCTGTTTTCCAATAACCCTCAAAACAGAATGGAAAATGCTTATGCAAAATGACACAAGCCTTAACCATTCTCTGCAGGTTTTTACCATTTCAATACACTTCTAGTCCAACAGCTTTCCCAATTCTAAAGTTCTGTGAGTGAACTATGAATATTTTTAAATATTTTCCAGATTCATCATGGAGGCTGCTTTTCTTCTCTGCACTGTAATCACACTGAGCTGCAATTAAAATAGACAATCAGTAAATAGTTACTTTTTCTATGGAAAATCTTACACTAATACAAAGTATAATGCATCACAACTTACAATTATTGAAAATAATCTTACTGGAGAGGGTCCTGTAAGAGGTCATTTTTGGTGTTCATGTATGTTTTACTCTTGAGACTTTAAAATACCTGTATTACACTAGAGATATGCAGGGCAAATATGACATTCCATAGCTCAGAGTGATATACAGTACTTAGAATTCTAAAACATATTTCACAGATGGATGAAAAACAACTAGATAAAAAGTTAACTAGAAAAGTGAGTAAAATACAAACTAAGTGTGAGCCAGCACAACACAAGATTGGTAATCAATTGGAGTTGATATTATATATACAAAGTACAAAAAAAATCTAACAGTACAATAGAGTATACATCATAAAGAATCTGTCTCACCACTGTCCTTCATTCTATAGCCCTCTTTCCAGATACAATCATTTCCATTTTCTAAGTATATTTCTAGAAATAAATTCTAAATGAGAATAGATGCATATATTTCCTCACCTCTTTTTATTTAAAAAATGATAAAATACTCTACACACCTTTCATCTTGGTTTTCTTCCTTCTAAATGATCTACTTTACAAATGACTCCATGTGAGACCTACTTTATTCCCCTTAACAGCAGCAAACTTTCCTGGTTTTCTATGGAGGGGCATTTAGGTGGCTTTTAATCTTTTAAAATTATAGGCAATGCTGCAATTAGTATTTTGACATGCTTTCCTGCACAGACTTGCCCAGGTCCAAGTACACCACCTGCAGAATAAATTCTTAGAACGACTGGGTCAAAGGTGATGTGCATCACAATGTTTTGTGAGATACTGCCAAATTGGGCTCCAAAGAGATTGCACCAACACACATTTACATTAGTGATGTGTGGAAGCACCAGCATAATGTATTAACAAACTTCATGATCTGACATGATTGTGAAATGGTGAAAAATGATATGTGATTATGGTTTAAGCTTGTATTTGTCTTATGGGTGAGGATGAGCATCTTTTCAAATATTTAAAAGCCATCTGTCTTTCCTTTTCTATAAGTTTTACTCTTTGTCTATTGTACTGTTGCACTTTTTTTGTTGGTTTAGCCATTCTTTATATATATGTTAAGGATATTACTTTTGTCACAGGATTGCAGATATTTTTCTCAGTTTGTCATTGATTTTATCACTTTAAAATGCAGATATCTGAAATTTTACATGTTCACATTTATTAATTTCTTTTCATAGTTCCTAGGTTTTGTGTTCTTGCATAGAAAGGCTTCACCACACTGATTTTAGTGTTAAAAGAACGCAGTAATGGCTTTCAGTAGTTTAGACTAATACACTTAGAACATATAACCATAGTCCAAAGATGGATGAAGAATGTACAGAAAAAGTTGATCAGAATACACATTCAGAGCATGGAGGACTCGGTACAATGCAGGGCTTGCGCATGATGCTGGGCTGCACGTTAGAGGAAATAATAATCTTCTAACTCCAATCCTTTGTTTCGTTAAGTATCAGGCCCTTACCAGGATAGTCTTTCTAATAACAGTTTCTAGTTTTTAGAGGAAGATGGGAAAATTAGAAAGAATTCAGAGAAAGCAAAGATAAAGATTTTAAAAAACTGAACATATGTCTAATACAAAAAGTTTATAACTTGGACTCATTTAAGAGAGAAAAAATATTAACTCCACTCCAGGGAATAATTCCTTTTTGTGGATAGGGACAATGCTGAATGATTACTTTTCATCTTCAATGAAAACAGGATGGAAGGAGAAAAGCTTAAGGAAAAAACTGTGAAGTGGTTACTGACACAGCATTAAAAAAAAAAAAAAGCTCACAAACAGAAGGGTGAAATCTTTGTCATTAGAGAGTTTAAGTAACAGGAGAAAAACATCTGTGTTGGGCTGCTTGGGTTTAATTTTGCCTGGATGGAGACTAAACGAGATGCCAACTGGATTATCTAACTAACGTTCTATAACTGTACCTATAGAACTCAAGGTAGTTGATTTTAAGTAGGCATTTTCTTTACCATATTCCTTAAAAAAGGTAAACTTAAAGCTCTTAGGACTGTGATGTAGAATTTAACTTCTTATATAACTAAGTATTTACTAACCACTTAATGATTATACTAAATGCTTATATGCGTTAATTCCTTTGATTTTTCAGTAACTCTATAAGGGAAGTGTTATTATTCTACATCAAACACGAAGACACTGAGGCTTAGAAAAGTTGAAATTGCCCCAAATCACATGGCTACTTAATGGCACCAGGCTATGTGCTTGACACCAAAACACACACTCTTAAGATACTGCCCAGTACACCTTGGCTCCTGTTAACTTATAATCTAAATGAATGAATGCTTTCTTGAATGATAAACTACTTAATCCATTAATTCATAATTTAATAAAAAATTCAATTTATTCGATAAAGCTATAATTACTTTCAAGAGAGAGGGGAACAGAAGGGCAAATTACTGGATTTTCTTTAAGTGCCATGCATTGTTCATATCAGAAGTAGATTTCAAAAAAAATCTATAAATATCACATACATAAACTGAAATCAATGAGTATTTAGAGCTGCTGTAGTATGTATGAAATACTGTTATATCTATGCATAATATTAATTTTGATTGAAACAGTACATTTATAACGAAACATATTTAATAAGGTAGTAACATGGTTTCTTTGCCTGCCTATCTAGATCTATCCATCTAAACTGTTTCCAGCCTATCTTTATAATCACTAGATGATCTCACATTGTTCCTAATAGGAGGTAGGAGGAACTATTGCTCCCACTTTAAGTAAATGGCCCATTTTCTTTATATGATGTGTGTATGAGTAATTACCCCTTAGTATTTTATTGATGTTCTGCATTTTCTACTCTATTTCCCATTGGACAACTTTTATACAGTATTTTAGATTTATATGGTTATATACAAATGTGCATTAAATGAACTTAACCTATAAGTCATTTTTTCCATTTAAAAAACTACAATAAAAACAAAGTGCAATTAGAAATATTACATTCAAAGCAATGTTTTCTACTTTCAAATCTGTCAGAGATCATGCCTAGACAGAATAAAATTCTAGAGCAGTGCTGTTCAAAAGAACTTTCTGTGATCATAGAGTTCTATTTATGCTGTCCAATATGAGGATCATAGTTACATATGGCTACCGAGCACTTGAAAGCCAGCCAGTGCGGGGCACCTGGGTGGCTCATTCAGTTAGGCATCTAGACTCTTGGTTTTGGCTCAGGTCATGATCTCTGGGCTGTAGGACCGAGCCCTGCATTGGGCTCTGCACTCAGCATGGAATCTGCTTGAGATTCTCTCCTTCTCCCTCTGCTCCTTCCCTCACTTGCATGTGCACTGTCTCTCTCTCTCTCAAATAAATCAATCTAAAAAAAAAAAAAAAGAAAGAAACCCAGCCAGTGTAATGAGGATTTCAAATTTTAATTTACTTAATTTTAATAATTAATTTAAACTGCTGCTTATGGCTAGTGGCTATCATATTGGACAGCACAGTTCTAGATTTAGGTGTCAATTTAGGAGACTTGTGTTTATTTCTGTTTTTAAAGTTTACTTTTTCAACCTCAAATATTAAAGAGACTACTTTTAAATAGTTTAATCAAGTAAAAATAAAACTACTAGTTCTCTGGGAACTTTTGAGGAACTTTTCTTATCTTTTGATCTACTCAGACTATTTACTGTCAGGGATAATGAGGAAGCTCCCTACCTGCTGGGAAGCCGAAGCTGCTCTCTGTTCTGCCTGACTTAGACGCCTTTGAAGTCTGTTGGCTTTTTCTTGATGCTCTAGAATTAGTTTTTCATTCTGTTATGGGGAAATACAAAACAAACAAGTTAGAAATCCATATGTGACACAGAAAGGTTTTGTGGAATAATCAATGAAAAATTTGAGTATTCCTTTACTCCTTATAAAACGCAAAGATAATATAGCTCCAAATTTACATTTTTTCAAATTATGAATTTCAAAGTTCAAAATTGGTTTCACACTTTGACTACATTATTTTTTCCCCTCTACATGTTACCAAAGAAAGTGAATTAAATCTAAAATCAAAGTGAATCAGAAGACCAAGATTTTCAATACATTTTTTTTTAATATTTGATATTAACCTTGAGATGCTAGATCACTGCTTCAGAATCACCTGGAATATGAAAACACAACCAGAGCTTCAGTAGGATGGGATGAATTTTGAGAATTGGCACTCCTACCGAGTTCTTAGGTGGTGCTGATGTTGTTTGCTAGTGATTCAGAACTACCATGTGAAAGCAAGCTTCTAGAGAAATTGTGACGTTGCCACTATTAAAGTGCAGAGAACAGAAAATATTCATTCTAGAAGTCTTGATTTTTGAAAAAGATAGACTCGTCTTAAACGATTTGTATGTTAAAGGTGTTACTTAAAAGGGGGAAGAACTCTGTTTCTACATGCTCCCTAATACATTTGTATACTCTAGAGGATATTAGGATCATCAACAAATATGGCATTGGTATGGATTGAATTATGTCCCTAAAAAAGGATGTTGAAGTCTTAAACCCCAGTACTTATGAATGTGATCTTATTTGGAAATAGGGTCTTTGCTGATAATTAAGGTAAGATGAGGTTTTAGGGTGGATCCTAATCCAATATGCCTAGTACCTTCATAAAAAGGGGAAATTTGGACACAGAGACTGACATGGACAAAGGGAAGACCTCATGAAGACACAGGGAAAATACCATCTACAAACCAAGGAACGCATGAGGCCACCAGAAACTAGGAGAGAGGCATAGAACAGGTTCTCCCTCAGAGGGAACCAATCTTGCTGACTTCTTGATTTGGACTTCTGGCCTCCAGAGTTGTGAGACAGCAAATTTCTGTTGTTTAAATCACCAAGTTCATAATACTTTGTTAGAGTAGCCTTAGGAAACTATATGGACATTATGAATATAAATCTGTCACAACATGCTGTCATGCAGACAAGTTCAAAGAAACTATCAATTATAAAATGTGTTTGTCTTTTCCATACTTACTAGCCTGAAGAAAAAAGTTTCTGTACAACTAGAATTATTATGTGGTTTTCTGGCACTTTTCTGAATTGAGAGAGTAACATCAGTCTAATCAGGAATAGTAAGAAAAACACACTTTCTATGAAGAACTACATAGTTCCCTAACATATGTGATAACGGTGAATGTCATGCCTAGTAATATAAAATACTGAAATAACAATATACTGCTAAAATGAGGTTATATGTTTTATTGTGCCCAAAATTAAATTTTATGAAGAGAACTATACTGGCTGTTTCAATTTACCAAGATATTTAAATATGTAGTCTTAAATTTAAAAGGCACATCATTAACACTAGAGAAAACCTGGGGGTAAAATCACATCATCTATAATAATCACTTTCATAGGTACCATCAGATTACATACAATATGCATTTTTCTGTGCTACCATCATAATGGTTAAGAAACAGTCCAGGTTAGGTAAATCATAATATATGCAACTGTTCTTTTTCAACTGATCATTTTGGTTGCTTTTGATCTTCTAATATTATTAACATTATTGTGTTGAATATCTGCCTTTAAATTTTTTCATATTTTAAATTATTTCCTTAAGTACAGATCCTGGAAGTTTTGAAAACTACGAGTATTTTAATGGCTATTGTTTGTATTCTAAATGGCTCATAGCAATTTATAATGCTTTGAAACTTAAGAGTAATGATTTCATTATGGCTTCTATAGATGGCCACAAAAATATAGCGGACCATATAGCATATTAATGAAATTCCAACAAATACATTCGAAGTTAGAACATCAAACGAAGAACTAGAGTTCTAGAAAGCTCTAATCATAATCTAGACATTAACTTTTTTTTAAAGATTCAAAGAGGAAAATGATGAGCTCTTGCTGCATTTAGTTCTAAAGCATTAATCTGAAGGAGTATTTTAATATATTCCAGTAGGCAAAGGTAATTTCTACATTTCTTATGTGTTGAATTAAAACAAAATACGAGGAAAGGGCTAAAAAATATAATCTTAGACATGCTTAGAAATGAAGGGGATCTTAACACATTTTCTGCAACATAGCACAAGTTATATTGGGGAAACTGAAATAGGAGCTCTACCTTTTGTCATTTACATATGATGAATCACTGACTTTCAAAGCTTTTATTCACATTATAAAATGTGGACTTTTAGGGTTATGGATGATTTCTCTACAAGGAGTACTCACCCCTGTATGGTCATTTCCAAGTAGAGAATTAATTTGGAGTTGGCTCAGATAAAATTCTGTAACATGTGTATCAAGCTGCAGCAGAAAGTACTTCCCGGGAGAGTCATTATCTTACCTCAACTACCTTTTCATTTGCCATTTCCAGCTGAGAAAGCAGCTCTTGGGTATGAAGTTTCTGTCGACTCAGCTCACTCCTATTAACCAAGAGACAGTCCCCCCACCAAGTCATTAATATCATTGTTCAAAAATCTAACAAAATAGAATCTTTTTAGTGAGATATATGTTCTGTTCATGTTTTAAACAAAAATACCTTATGTGTAAAACAAAGTCTCTTTTCAATAGACCATATTTTAAAGGACTCATTTATTTCTTTATAAAATGCACATGTATTCTGGAGATTAGCTGTACACTGTGAATACAACACTGGACACTACTGAACTGTACACTTAAAAATGATTAAGATGGTAAATCTCATGTGTATTTTATCACAACTATAAAAATGTTAGAATGTTAAATTTTATATATATTTTACCACACAAAAACCCCCCCAAAAAACACACACACATATATTCTAAAAGTACTTAAGTGTTTTCAGTATTATTATCTTGAGGAATTATTTGGCATTAAAATGAACATATACTCATATTAAACAGATAAAGTATTTGTTATTATAAAATCTCATAAAAGCTACTGTGATTCTTAGCTATAGTATACATTTTTAAGATTCATATAGAGTGCTTCCTAGAGGAACTCAATTTTTAGAAATCTAAGGTAATATTAATCACTCCAACATCATTTCAGTGTAGTATATTCAGAATTGGTATTTATGTTTTGGTTGTATATGAGCTATATTTTATTCATATCCTTTATGCTTTAATAGCTGGATTTATCTTATACACAGAGCTGGCCATCTTCTTTTTCCTCTTTCTCTTTTTTTTCCCCCCAACATATGAGCATATCTTGCTTTTGGCCAAAGATAATTTCAAGAGTCTCAGGTTAGATGCAGAAACAATATAGTCTTTTTTTTTCCTTAAAGATTTTATTTATTTGTCAGAGAGCGAGAGAGCACAAGCAGGGGGAGTAGCAGTCAGAGGGAGAAGCAGCCTCCCTGCTGAGCAAGGAGCCTGATGTGGGACTCAATCCCAGGACTCTGGGATCATGACCTGAGCCGAAGGCAGATGCTTAACTGACTGAGCCACCCAGGCGTCCCAGAAACAATATAGTCTTAAAAATAATTTTTAAAAAGATCAAATTTCTGAGTATTAAAATACCCAGTTAATTCAGGATTGGTTTTTTATCCTTTGACCTTCTGCTTCTTAAATAAATCAACAGATTAACACTTCTAAAATAACTTCAGCTTTCAATTTTTTCCAAATGAGCTGCACAGCCGAAAAACTTGGTAAGCCCCTTAAGTGACCTATATGTGTATGAGTAATTGTTAAAATCAGCAAGCAATTTTTATAAATATATAGGAGAGAATAAAAAATAATGTCATCCACAAAATCAATTCCACAAATATTTACTGAACACTATGTGCCAAGTACAAGGTATATGGTAGTAAACACATAATTATTGCCATAACAGAACGAAGAGGGAAACGGCTTCATCCATATATGGCACAGTTTATGAGGACACAGAGTATCTATCATTGATTCTGTGACAGACAAACCCAAATGTTTTACCTTCGCTTTCTTCTGGTGGTAATAATAACGTAGAATAAATTACTGTGCTTACTTTCAAGTACCTTGTGTAGCTTAAAATTACTGCTGCACCTCAACATTAACATAACAAAGCGAAGAAAGGCAAAATGACTGAAGTGGCTAGTCTTCTAGGCCAAATGTAATTAAAGGTAAATTTATGCACGTTAGTGCTACTGAGAAATAACCTTTGAGTACTACTGAGATTAAGATGATACAATGATCCCATTTATAAAGTTAGCCAACATTCAGTTTATATAAGACCTTCTCAGAAAACACCTACTGCATAATTTGATACCTAAACTATTCACTTACCCATGACATTTTACATAAAAGTAATAATTTCTGACAAGTACTATTAGACAGTAGTAATTTTCCACAAAATTTAAGACCACAAAGATTCAAATGATTAACTTTCAGTTATTTTTAATCTGTGTAAATATGCTGTTGTGTATCAAGCTCTGTAACCCCTACTGGATGGTGAGCACGTTTGTTATCCTTAGGATCTGGTACTCAGTAGAGCTTGACAAGTAATAGCGAAGATGATGATGATGGTGATAATAACAGCAAACACTTTCATAGTGCTCACTATGTGCCAGGCACTTCTGAGTGTTTTATTTAAATTATTTAGTTTTCATGATAACCCTATGAGATCCCCAGTTTTACATATGAGAAAATTTAAAAACAGAGAAATTTAAAAATAAAGGTAGGTCATGTAGCTAGTCCAGTTGTAGAGTCAGAATGCAAAAACTGGGCCTTTTGGTTCAAGCTCTGTGCTCTTAACCGCTCCCCTACATTGCAGCATGGCAGGCAATTGCTAAATGTTAGTTGAATGAAGAAGTGAAGAGTATATATGTGTGACTTTGTGTATTAGATATTTCAAGGAATATAAAGATTTATACATTCACTTAAAAACCTAACAAATTATATCTTTATTTCTGACTTCTTCCCTAAAGGTTCAGTCTTTTATTCAAATTTAACCTGCCTAATATCAAACTTTTTGCATTTCCTTGAAAACCTCCTTCTCATCTTGCTACTCAATTTTTATATCGACATCTCTGCCCTCATTGCCTAATAAGTTAAACACCTCAATTCTATTTCTCATTTTCTCTTAAACGCAACATGTAGTTTGCCCCTAAATAGACTCTTCCTTTGCAATGTCTCTTGCATCTTTTCTTCATTTCTATAGCAGTGCTACCATCACAACTCAAGTTCTTTTCAAGATTTTATTTGTTCATTAAGTTGAGAGAGAGCAAATTAATAATTTGCTTTCTTAAGCAATAACTTCCAGTGGCTTTCTGCTATTGGACAAAATAATCCAAATTCCTGAGGCTGGCATTCAAAATCCTCCAAAATTTTGTGTAATATCTCTTTTTAATCTTATCTCCAGTAGCCGCCTTCCACTTTGGTTAGGTTCTCACTATCTCACACATTAACCATATATGTAACACTTTTAGGCTCGTGTTTGTCATTTTCTGTATCCTCTTTTTTAGATTTCCCTTTAAAATCCTCCATTCTTTAAGATTCCACCTTTGCCCCCTTCCTTTTTTTTTTTTTTAAGATTTTATTAATTCATTCATTCATTTCAGAGAGAGAGAGAGAGAGAGAGAGGGCACACGTGCTAGTGCGCACAAGCAGGGAAAGGGGTGGAGGGAGAGGGAGAGAGAGAGAACCTCCAGCAGACCCAGTGCGGAGCCTGATGGGGCTTGACTTCATGACCTGAGATCATGACCTGAGCCGGAATCAAGAGTCAAATGCTCAACTGACTGAGCCACCCAGGCACCCTCTTCCTTCTATGCCTCCTTTCCAGTTCATTTTAATCCAGACAGTTCTCTTCTCAAATCAAAGCTTTGATTCTTATTTTATGTTCTAAGAATTTAAGCAATTCTCTATTATAATGCTAATCATTTATATGTGTGTGTAAGCATACATAACATATATGTACACACACACACACTTCCCCAAGTATAATGGAAACTTTTAAAAATGGGATTGTTTTTAATTTCCATAGTATTTACCACAGTGCCTTACAATAAACATTTGCTGATTTATGGCTAAATTTCTACAGAAAACCTGGCGGTTAGAAAATTTTATTCCTTATTTGCTCAACAAACATTTACTGAGGAATCCACCACAAAACATATTTTAGATAAAGGTTATTTTTATTTATTTAGATTTATTTATGTTCTAGTTCTTCCTACAGAGGATTTGAAATGGCTAAGAAAAGGATATTTTTCAGTTAAGCATTTCCTTCAATCTCACTTCTGAATGAAATTTTAGAAGGTATTAAAGGGTGGAGAGAAAAGTGATTTTGCCAACTCTATCCCCTGAGACATTCCTAGAGCCTGCCTGTCCTCTGCAACTTCTTATTTCTTTGTCAGGGTATTTCCCTGCAGGAATAAAGGAAAGATGCAGGAAGATGACCCAGGTCTGTATTATCTATGAGAAATTTTCTCTTCATTAGATAACATTACTGAGAGTTCCCTGTACGAGTCCCTAAATCATTAGTGATTTAGGATAAACATAAAATAAGACTTTGCAGAGATTTTCACAGCGGTATTACACTTGAAACAACTGCCAACTAAAGCTATATAATCTCTTCACTGGAAATCTTTAAAAACAGAAACATCCTTACCTATCAGGGATGATTTAAGCGCAGCCCGACAGACAGTAAAGAGACAGGTGACATTTTGTTTCTGTGCGACTTTACGGCACTTAAAGCATATTTTATTCTAATTAAAGAATTTAAAGGAAGCTGTATTCAATTTCTCTATATAACTTCTAGCATGTTATACAATATGTTATAAAGTTTCAGGTAAAATTATCTTCTATCAATTTTAATGTAAGTGTATAAGAACGACGAATTCCTTATATCATTGGGAATTGCTTAGCCCATCAGTGTCCTAAATACTTTTAGTTCGCTTATATAGTTCATGCGCATGTGACATAAAATCCTAGTCACGCCTACAAAATGTAATTTAGAAAGACAGTTGTAAAATACAACTGATTTACTGCCTTCTCTGTAAGCAAAATTTTATAAAATAATATATGCTGTATCTGTTAAGAAAACATTAAATGCTTTAGTAAAGAAAATATTACAATGAACACTGATAAGTCATCAAATTCATCAATCTGAGATGAAAGTAGGTCAAGAGTGAGAACCTAAGGCAAGGGTTCCTCATCTGTGGTCCACAGATAGGCTTTAGGTATGCTCCCAAGTACCCTGAAATTATCTGTAAGATCTTGTGTGTTTGTCTTTTCTGGGAAGACAGTCCATAGATTTACTGAGATTTTTAAGAGATCTGAGGCCTAAGGAAGGATAAGGATTTTGTCTGGACTTTTTGTCTAGAACGTATAAAGTTTTTTAATTTTTATTTTATTTTTTATTATTTTTTAAAAGATTTTTATTTGACAGAGAGAGAGAGAGAGAGAGAGACAGCGAGAGAGGGAACACAAGCACGGAGAGTGGGAGAGGGAGAAGCAGGCTTCCCGCTGAG